AACGGGCCCGTCTACTGCTCCTCGCCATAGTCAAGCAGTATGCCCGAAAATACAAGACATCATCGACAGGTCTTGAGACCGCGCCCAGCGGTAGCGCGTCCGAGCCGGATGTGATAGGTAATGTCTTTGCGATGGCAATAGCCTTGGAGGGTGCAGAGAGCGCCACAGCGGTCGCTGTCGATGGAAAGGATGAGGTAGATTTGTATTTCGGCAATGTCTCTCCCGTGGCGGCAGATTTCGATGATCCGCTGGGCTGGTGGAAGGTGAGTCCGCATCTGTTGCTTTTTTTCCCAGGCTGAATTTGCGGTTCTAGCAAATGCAGGGGACCTTGGGGTTCATGGCGCATGTTGCCCGGGACATCCTTGCGATCCCCGGGGTTAGCATTTCTGTGGAGTGCCTCTTTTCGAGTGTGAAACACACTCTATCCGATGCCCGTTCATCAATGACTGCCCAGACAGCATCAGTGGACATTGTGACGAAGGAGTGGTTGAAATCTGGGCTATCGGAGGGCGTAAATTACATGAACTTTGTGAAACCCCACAAGCGGTAAATATATTCTGAATATATTCAAAATATATTCATATTCAACCCTCTGAATATGAATATGATACACTATGAATATGATACGGTGCACCGAAGGTGAATATGATATGAATATGAATACGATACGCGATTTTCCGTATCGTATTCATATTTGGCCAGCACTAGCCAGAGCATGTCTCCCAGCCGGCACGCTATTGCGCTCCACCGACTCCGGCCCAAGCCCAAGCTCTCGCCTTCCTCAACAGTGTGCGAGCGAATAGCAGCGCAGGCCATGGTCCTGCAATCCCGGGGAATGTGGCAGGTCCTCAAGGTCTTGTTTCGTTCTGTCCACCGCCGTTTCGCCTCACAGATTGCATGCGCACAGGTTATTCTCGATACCAGGATTTTCAACCAGTTCCAGCGCCACCTCAACAGCCTCGGTCTTTCATTCCAACTGTTTCGCAATGACCTGCTGCGCGTTCAAGCAGATCGGCTCGAGTTCTGGATCATCGACCTGCTCATCGCCGACGCATTTTGGCTGAGTGCTCGGCAGCTGTCCATTCTGATCGTGTCCGCAGCTCACGGGATCAACTTCACCGCTCACGCTGCTCCTGCCGTGCCCATTCGACTTCCCCTTGCCGCTTTGCGGGACGTTGGACTCCCCATCCCGACCATTCTGCTCGCACTCAGCTATCCATCCAATCCTCTTTGTCATCGGCGCTACGCATCCCCGGAGGCCGCAGTCGCAGACTGCCTACTGTTCATCGAATGGTATGAGCATAATCTGTGCTGGCTGGCTGAGTGCCTTCGACGCATCATTTCACATGGTACACACACGGTTTGGGACTTCGCAACGGCTTTGGATATCTCGTCGAAGGATGAGTTCTTCAATTTGATCGCTAACTCCAGGAAAGAAGCCGGGCTCGATGAGCTTGATATTCTTTTCTCAACAATTGAAGAAGCTCCTTTTACCTTTAATGATTTGGATTTTGGTGAGCATTCCCGCTACTCCTACTCGGTTCCACTCGTTAATTGGACTGTCGCAGACATAGCTGAGATTATTCGCCCCTGGTACACGCACCTGGGCATTGTCGGTGACTCAGCTAATGTTGGAATTGGACTCTACCCCATTGAGTCCGAATTTGCGAGCCCCATGGACTTGTTCATGTCCCAGGGCTTCGGCGACACAAAACTTACGACATTTTATGCCAGATAAAGAGTGTTTATGAACAAGGGGATGCGACAACCACAATTCTGAAGTACGACCGATCCTTCTTCATTTTTTTTACAATCACCATGACGACCATCTTACGATTTTGGATTCATTGTACCGTACATCGAGGCTGGGGGGGCTATGTTATGGATATACGCTAGTTGCACGGCCTAGTTAGCCTCAATGTACTCCTATTACCTTTCACGACTTGTTATGACCAAGTTCAACATGTGTTTGCCTTTGTTGTTCTGAGTCACTTGACTCGGCATCAGCCGCCGGAGCTGATAGCTGGATCCCGGTGGTTGAACCTCGACTCAGTCTGACTCAGTCTGAGTCAAGAAGTGAAGTGTGACTCATAGATAGCACTTAGTAAGCTATGTAGATGATTTGTATAAATACTTCGTGTCGGTTCCAGGAACCGGCACTCTATCTTGAATACATACTTCCATCATCTCTTTCTCAGCGTGAATTAAGTGAGACATTCTAAGCACGTTGTATAACTGCTTCGAGGGTTGAACGGCCTGAATCTTACCTGACACAGTAGCTCAGTTAAGCATTTGGAAGCTGTCCTAAGTGCTGTACGCCTGAGCGCTGCACACACATTTTACGTGTTTTAACCGTAATTTGGCAGGTCACACTGACATCGACACAAGCGTCCTTGCGGTAAGGATTTGATTGAATCTAGTAGCAGCATGCTTTACAAGTGTAAAGTAAGCTGATCTCTAACACCCTCCCCGTCGACCTGCGCGCTCCCGAGGATCAAGTTGAGCGAGAAAAGGAGTTGACAGAGGAGGGTGTGTGAATGAATATGCATTTTCGGGATTGCAAAACGCATGAGCGCCATGACGATGTGAAGCCGGACATGGCTTGGCAGTGCCTTTAGCCGTTCCACCAGATGTTTGCTCCAGATGCATACAATGTTGTAAGATATCATCTTAAAAAGGCCGGCGTCTTTGTGCTTGAGGATGCTGGCGAAGATGTAGTCCATATTTGCGAACCTGCTGCTCGCCATCAGCCGCACGTTGAGCAAGAAATACCGAGCACAACGCACCGCTTGCCCTTCTGTAGGTCCCCTATTCCGTTCGGTTGGATGAACTCATGGCGCACGCAGACACCCATCCCAACCCCAGTCGTGCTGTATCCCCGCGAAAATTTAGTGTTCACGTAGTCAAGGGCGGCGAGACCACTGCAGGTGTTCATCTGCGCCAAGTCAGCCGGGCTGCCGTCAAAACCTCCACGCGAATCACGAACCTCTTTTTGGTCCGTTACGGTACGCAAATACTCTCTGTACGGGCCCGTGTCCAGCACATACGCCCACCCCGGCCCCAAATCTGGGTTCCTCAGCTCGCTTGACACGAGCCGCCGCTTCAGGCGAAAGCACGCATCCAGGGCTAAAAACAGTGTATACAGGAATCTGTCACACGCTGTCAGCTTTCGCTATCCGCATGTGCGCACGGCGCTCACCTCTCCTCCAGCGAGGCTTTCTCCCAGCCTTCCGGCAGGTTAACTCCTGGCCGAGGGCATGCGGGGCACTCGATTGCGAGCTCCCCAGGCGCAGTTCCCCCCATGCTCATCATTGTGTAAGCCGCTGCCTGACCACAGCATTTGAGAAGCATTATGTGGCGGTACTTCCGACACATTCGTATCCACTCATGGTAGTGGTCGGGCGGTTTGATCCCCGTGTTGTCCGTCAGCTTCTCCAGCACACCGTAGTAGTCGTACATGTTCATTTTGGCCTGCAACGTCACCTGGTGAAACTGGTTGAGGACATCAAGTGTGGCACACGTTCTGGGGCGATCGTCGGTCGCCAGAAACCAGCCTGCCCTAAGTAGCTGAATCTCGGGACTTCCAGCTTGAATCGCACGCTCGTACCTGCAGAAGTTCACCTTGACTTCATGGATGCCGTTCGAGTGAAGCACCACAAACTCGGAATGGCCAGCCTCCGGCGCAGGGCGGCGGCGGCAGGGAGCGTGCCTGAGTTGAACGCGGAGCCCAAGAGCTGTGAGCGAGGTCTTGACAAAGAATAGCTCGCACCATTTCTATCTGTCAGAGGCCGCCGGTCAGAACCGTCCGCATTTTCAGAACGACAGGCAGACGTACCCAAACTCGATGCAGGGGATTTTCTGCGTGTCTCTGCACTATACACGACCGACAATACATCGCCCCACCATGACAGTCGCCGCATCGGAAGAGAGGCCGCAACTTGGTTTTGCCTTCGCAGCCGGGGCAGGTATCCATCTCGGCATCCCCGGGACCTTCCCTCCAGAGCAGTGCGGCGAGGTAGCGATCCCGCAAATGTAGTCGCCACTCGTGCAGGGAAGGATCCTGTGGAGATAGTTAGCGCTAGCGGGTTTGGACAAAAAAACCCTCGCACCGCTGGCTTCACTTCGCGCGGTTTCGTCAGTGCTGGCGGAGTGCTTGGAGGTGGCGGCGCCATGTCGTTGCCATCCCAAATCCCGAGTTGGTAGCGATCCAGTGCCTCGATACTGCCCACGTCGCAGTTGTCTGGCAGTGCGGCGCGTTCGCCCCCAAGGATTTGCTCCAGCCGGATTTTCTTGACAGGGGATGGGGGTTCCACCGGCAGCTCTTCGATGTACACGCGCCTGGTGTCTTCAGAGACGTGGTGGACGAACACCGCGATGGGAGCATCAACCGCGTTGAGGTCTGCGAGGGAGAACGCGTGTGTGTGGGTGCTGGACTCGCCCACAAGGCTGGCGGCGGTGCCCTGTTCGCGGCGCTTGCGCTTCTCGCGCATGGTTGCTTCCCGAGCAGGAGTTCATCGAGTAGGACCTTCGCGTTCGCGTTCGCAAAAAACAAAGGCTGCTGACTAATCCCTGGGAAACATCACGACATCATGATGGCCAAACCGCCAATTATACCTTCACCCACTATACCATACCAAGCGCTATACAGGCAAAATTGTGGACCTTGTTGTACCGCACCGCTGCCGTAGTCCCGAATTTCCCGTACCCACTCAAATTTCTCTCCCCACAACCCGCGCGTAGTCTCTCGATCCGTACCATACCTGTAATCCTCGCCACCAATAAGAACTCTTCACCTGTATAAATACACTCCGCGCCGATCTTTGGCCCCCGTCCATGCAAAAAAGAAAAATCGCAGAAGAATGAAACGGGATTTGAACCATTGAGCCCCAGGTCCTGGAGGTAGAGGGTGCGCACCCAGTTTACAAACCCATCCTCGGCGTGTCCCGCAAAACGGGACCTCTGTGTGCGCCTCCAAAAAATCTCAAACCATGAAAATGGATTGGTTCCAGGGGGAGTCGAACCCGCGAACTCGCCGTTGCAAATACAGCGCGCTCAAACCGTTGAGCATTGGATCCACAACTGGGGTGGGGATGCTTCTAACCATGTGCTGGAGATAAGGTGCATGAAAACCAGGTAGTACTTACAGAGGTATATTCTCAAGCTTCAATTTTTTCTTCCTCGGATCAGCGCGTGTACCAAAGAAAGAAAGACCCACGGAATTTTTCTTAGTATCTCTTCCGTTGTGCATTCGACTTGCACCGAGGTCCTGAGCTCGATTTTTTTTTTTTTTTTCGGCGCGTGTACCAAAGAAAGAAAGGCAAACGGGAAAATTGTGAGTATCTCTTCCGTGGTTGTGCGTTCGACTTGCACCGAGGTCCCGAGGTCGTTTGCGTGTACCAAGGAAAGCAAAAGGGAAAATTCTTAAATCACAGAGTCTAAGGTAAGTACAAAATGATTTTACCACAAAGCAATAACTTACGCGGGAGTCGAACCCATAAACTCCTCAATTACATAATCCTGCCAAAGGCAACAAGATGAGGGCGCAGAACCAGTTCAGCGACTGAAGTTATGGAAACTATACCCCCATCGGCGCTCTATCTGGGAGAACTCATACCTTAGGCGACCCACTGATCACAACACTTTGACGTGGGCATGCCGGGGGCTCATGTGCACCATGATTTAGGCTGCATGCGTCGCCCACGGGCCCGCCAACCCCCACGTCCCTCGTTCGAACCCCACTGCCGTACCTCCAGGCTGTGGTCCGTGCAAAGCCGCCGCAACATCTTTCCGAGGCTGAGCAGCACCGTTGCGAAAAAGAAACACAAATGAGAGCGCCGCCTGCGCCGTGAAGATCGCGAACGGAGGCGCCTCCGCGCTGCGATTTGCCCGCCAACTGCGGGGGGCATGTCATACCTGGGATTTAAAGCTTGTTATACACTTTACCCTGGCTCGACCATCCTCCTCCCATCCGCCATGACCAAGACGTGGAGACGGCCGAGGGAACCACCGCGGAGGAGCGCCAGAATGGGCACGCGAGCGACAGGCGCCAGAATGGGCGTGCGAGCGACAGGTATGTTGGCGCGCAAGCATTGGTATGTACCGTACCTGGTCGGCGTCGCAGTACGATGTAACCTGGATATTTAAATGTAATTTTTGTTCGCCCAATTTTCCCTGGTGAATGCCATGCGATTGGATATAAAATGAGCGCCAATGAGTGCCAGTGACACGGAAGAGTGCAGGAACTGAGCGCAACCAAAAAAAATGGTCGGCGGGAAATTACGAGGGACCACTCTGGTATTCGTGCATTGTTGTACTGGATTAAGGACGCATTTGGGTCTGGTGTTAAGAGTAGAGCCTCGTCATGCCAAACGGCGGCCTCTCCGGTCCTGGCAGCTGCCAAGGTATCCTTTGCCTCCGAGGGCGGCCTGGGCCGGAATGAACGCGGAGGAATTTCTTTTGGAGGCTCGACACGAACCATCCAGATTGGGAAGCACAGCCACCGGCTGGCCTCCCGCAACGTCGCTCATCATCGAAGGAAAGATTTGAAGGATAGCTGCAGGTTTATGGTGTGCGAAATCCATCCCGAGGGGTCCGGGAGGCCCTTAGTGAAAGGGGAGGCTACCCTGAACACTTTTTTTGGGCAGCACACGAACAAGCCAGATTAGGAAACCCGTTCTGTGGCTGTGTTACACAGCTTCAGCGCCCACCAAATTCAAGACAAAGAGATTTCCAAGATATTCAAGGCAACAACATCGAATGTACATGAAGACGCCCGCTGTTCCTTCTCTCTGGCCACTCTCCTATTCCTCTGCGACTCCGCACTGTGCCTCTCGCGACGCCTCTTGGCCTTGGCGCGTTGCAGGGCCCAGCGCTCCTCCTGCTCACGCTCCTCTCGTTCCCTTCTTTGCCGGCCCGCCTGGAGGCGTGCGAGAAGTGCCTCATCTGGACTGGGCCTCGCAAGCAGCGCTGCACGAGCACGTGCAGCAATCTTGGCGATGCGGCGGCGGTGCGTGGTTACGCCAATCTCAGCTGGGGTCAGCCTGCGTGGTGCAATGGCGGGGAGCTCAGGCTTGTTGGAGGTTGGCACTGGGGGATGATAGTGGGTGATGCGCGAGCTGTCGTTTTGAACGATAGTGAAGGCGGGCATCACGCGGTTGGGGATGAATGTGATTATGGGCGCCTGCTCGTGGAGGAATCCAGTGGTCTCCCAATCTTAGGGACGTGTGCGACGTGCTGCACGACTGCGATGGAATTCACGCCAATAGGGCTTGGAATGGATGATTTTGGGTTCCTGGGAGGCTTTCTTGGGCGGCATCCTCGTGGTAAGAGCTCGAGTTCTGGTTAGAGACGGGAACTGCATACACACACGTTAACAGGACGTAAGCATTCCCTCCTTCCTCCGCTCTCCCATCCAGACAACATGAATCACGCCCAAGTCGCTTTTGCCGTGAACGCGCAGCTGCCCGCACCTCTGCAGACCCCCACACCCGCCATCTACATATTCTTCTCCGACAGCCCCACTACTGCAACCCCGAACGCCATACGCGCCGCGGCCCAGGCGCGCTACCACGAGAAAAACAAGGAGCAGGAGCAGAGCAGGGCCCGCATCCGGATGGCGCGCCTGCACGAGATACACATGGCCGAAGGCGTGCACGTGCGCCAGCAGTTGCACGACCGCGAGGACGCCAGCGTTGCGAAGCTCGCCCATCAGGAGGAGCGAGATATTCAGAAGGAGGAACAGCAGATGCGCTGTCAGGCGTCGCAGGAGTTGAGGTCAAGGTATGTGCCGTCTGCTGCCGCGCCATTACCGGGCTGACCGTGGAATCCCTCAGTACACTCTTCAAACACTTCAAGGATCATGTGCAGCGCCACGTCGGCCAGTTCTTCGGCGACGCTGCCGGCAACTACGTTTACTTTGAGCCCTCGCAGGCAGAGATCGAGCGCCGCGTCGCATCAGTTTGGTCGTGCGCATTGGTGCTGCACCTCGACAAGGACGCGGTCGGGTACGGGAGGCTCCTCACAGCCGATGCTGAGAATTTGGATGACGAGGACATCAAGTTCATCTTCGCCCACTCGACACCGACACCGACGTTGGAGGGCTTGGACGCCTGCGCGTGCTTCTAATATCTAGCGCCACTAATGTATGAATTGAAACAAAAAAAAACCCTTTTTCTTGTAAAGCGCGCGGTCCGCCATTTGTCTTAAAGAGCAGCGGCTGTGATGCAAGAGGGCCAAGAAACAAAAATGGTATTGCAGCAGCGGCAGGTAGCTACGACTAACTAGATAAGATACGTTGCGCGATGTTTCTGAGGGAGGTCTCGGTGGGTGAGAATACGACTGGAGGGACTCTGCGCACCTGTGACAAGCCGGTTTTAGGCGAGGCGGCGGAGGTGCATCATCTGCTGATGGACGAAGAATGCTTTGACGCGCTAGTGGCGATGAGTGAGTGAAGTGCGGGGAGGGGAATTGAACGGTCGAAGACGCACGCGGGTGGTCAGTGCGACGATGTGCGCCTGGTCAACGCATACCGAGTCCTCCGGATCAAGCTCAGTGTCGGGGTCATCGATACGTATGGCATGCGGGTCGTGCTCAATCGGCACAGTCCATGGGAAACGTGCCCAGTATTCTTCGAAAAGCGTGTTCCAGAAGCGGGGGGTCTGGCGGGCGGCATGGGCAGCGAGGTAGGTCTCGACATAGGCATGCAAGAATTTGGTGTGGCGCTGCGGAAGTGGAAGGGCTGGGTGTGGAAGGGGCGACGCTGGTGTTCGGACATTGCGTGAATTTACGGGGCGATGGGCGCAAGACGACGGTGGGCATTTACACTAAATATTGACAAGCGGGAGTTAATTCAAACAAAAAAGCGGAGTTTTGTCTGAGGTAACAGATGTTTGTGTCAGGGAGGCGGAAGTGTGCGGAAGGAGACAGGATTCACCTTCGTCCAGGCCACGTGCAGTACAACTCCGCGGGGCGCAAAATGTACAGCATATGACTTTTCTTGAAGGGCAGTCGGCGGAGGGCACAAGTTTACCGCGACAATGCATAGGTCGCCGATCACGATCCCAGCGGATTGGAGGGCGCAGGCGCGGGAGCGTAAAAGTAGGGTTATGGCGAACGTCGAGAAGCGTCGTGAGTGCAGAGAGGTCGCCGATCAGGAAGTAGGCGGGGGGTGAAGCGTGCGGGAGCATAAAAGTTTGAGAAAGGCGAGGCAGGCATAGCGAGTGCAGAGAAGTCGCCGATCAGGAAGCAGGTGGGTGGGGAAAAGGCTAAGCACCTAATGTACGCGAATGCGACATGCTGGCGGGAGCGAGGCGGGATAAGGGTGCGCAATTGGATGGAGGTCGCCGGTGGCCATGGCAGGGCCAGGCACTAGTTTGACTTCCGCTGTCCAGATGCTGGCAAGCCAATGAGGAGCTGCCAACAGCGCAGTGGTTCTGGATTCTCAGGCGTGGGCAGATGTAAGGCGCAAGGGGAGTGTGAACGGGGGTCGACCAGGGGCGGCCAGTGAGTGGGCAGGAGGACGACATCGAGGAGGGCATGCACCGCGGCACACATTGTCGGCGATGGGCCGCACAGGATGGCACAGGAGGTGTGAACACTGATGAACGGGATGGACGAGAACATCAAGTGGCATGGGAAAGAATTCCCACTTACAGGATGTATCAAGGATGTATAAGAGCGCGACCAGGTAAAGAAATAAATCCAACTCCTCTTACTACACTATTCATGACAGGCCTCAGCTTCACGTTCGCCAACAAAAACACCCCTGCGTCGCCGACGCCAACTCCCTCTGCTCATCCCACTGCCTCCACTACCTACGCGGGCCACCCAAGCGACGACCCCGACCGTCCGACTTGCGAATTGCCCTATCACCCAGAGCCAGGTGTCAACTGCGACTCGCACGACCAGACCTCGGGTTGTAAATTCTATGTGGTCGCCCCGGGGCACGTCGTCGGCGCCTACACCGATGCGTGAGGGGACTCTCACTTCCTTCCGACCGCCTCTGACAGTTTTTTTGGGGCTAGAAACCGTGTGATGGACCAAGTGATTTGCGTCCACAAGGCCTATCAGGAGAGCT